CCTGTGAATTCACCTAAGACGACTCGAAAACGAAAACCACCCAGTGTGTGGCTTTTTTATCGGACACTTTGGATCCACGTTCAACGTTAGATAATCTAAGTTTTATGAATTTCACTGTAACTAAACAACTCAGTGGTAAATTCATTAGTCTTATCCCCAAATGTTTATCTGTCACTAATTAACTTGAGCTAAAATACTTTCAGCTGATTAACTAGGGAACCACTAGTCTTGTTTTTGTTATCACCTTAGGCAGTCACATTCATGCTCCTCTCGCTTTTGCATGACTCTCGCATCCCTAGACTAAACGCGATTTGTCTTGCTTTCTCTCTCTCACCGTGGCCCCGCCGTGGTGGTCTAGTGGCTAAGGTACTCGGCTGCTGACCCGCAGGTCGCGGGATCGAATCCTGGCTGCGGCGGCTGCATTTCCAATGGAGGCGGTAATGTTGTAGGCCCATGTGCTCAGATTTGGGTGCACGTTAAAGAACCCCAGGCGGTCTAAATTTCCGGAGCCCTCCACTACGGCGTCTCTCATGATCATATGGTGGTTTTGGGACGTTAAACCCCACAAATCAATCAATCAATCTCTCTGACAGTGGGAGGTAACGTTCGCATGAGGAATGTCAGGCGTTCTCCTTAAACATGCCGCGCATGATTCGCTTAGGAGGATTCGAGATATCTTACACAGGAAAAACGGCACCAACGAATTCCGTTATCGTAAACATGCGCAAGGTTTCCCTTCGGGGGAGAAGAGGGGGTTCGTCGCAACGTTCTCCCTCTTCATATCATGACAATGTATGGAGCTGACATTGCGCCCCCCTCTCACTCGCTCCTTGTAATGTCAGAGTATGAGGCTGGCTTTGCACCCCCTCCTCTCCACCCCCTCCTTGTGCGCACGCCTATGGCTATTATGGCTGTTGGTACAGAAGTATAGACGACCACGGCAGTACTGAGACAAAAGCAGCACAGATGCTGATGGCAAATGCGGATGTAATGGTGTAAAGGAGAACGAAAAGACGCTGCAATTACGCGTGGTGAAACATGTAATAAAGTGCAGTTGGCGCGCTTAGTCCGGTTTGGGCGTTTCCGTATTTATCATACCTGAGATCTTCGACATCAGTGTTGCCAAACCTACAAGAGGCATTGAAGGATGTGTATATGCACATTCATCTTATTTTTACGGTTGCAATAAAAGACAAACAAGGATTAATAAGAAGAACGTAATAGCTGAAATTCCAGATATTCGTTCGCCTTTGTATTCACATACTACGACAGTAGAAGACCCTCATGCCGTACATATATGTTAATGAACAATTCAGTTGTAATGCGCCCCTCGACACCTTCACCCGCGACGATAGCACTGCGGAAATGTGATACGTACGCATCACTCAACCGCCTGGCGTTACATGGCGTCGCATGTCACAATAGCGCTTTTAGTGCACGGCAAAACTACTCACGTGCGTAACAAACGTGAAGCGTGTTACGTACGGATCACATGCGTGATTACGTAGCAACCGCACATATGCCATCGCAATTTGAGCGCATGGCGGTCTGCGCATGCGCACTGCGCAAAACGATATTCTGACACACGCAAAGCCGTCGTGTACGCAACGTACGCAGTACTAAAACTCTTCTCCTATGGTCCCTTAAATGCATGTGCATACCACTCAATTTTCGGGTGCATCGAACGCGCCAGTTCGCATAAAGGAGGTGTGACCTTTGGTGGCTGACTGATTTTAATACCGGAGGTAAAAAACTCGGTGGCAATCTGCAGGGCGAAATTTCGCCTTCGCTCACGGTTCTTCTACAATACTTATCGCCGCTTGGCCTAGAGAGATCGAAGCTGTCAGAAAAGACTAGCTTTGACGACGCTGTTTAGAACTTTCCGGCGGCTTCACCCCTCGTCCCCAGAGTCCTTGAACGGTTGAACGAAGCGTCCGAACTGTTATCGCTCTCGAGCGGCCATTTCGGCCATCGTAGCGAAACAGTTCTTAGAACGACACAGCCCTTTTCCCGTTACACCAAAGACGGGGATTACCGGTGCCGCTATTCCACTCTACTGGTTGTAATTCCTTACAATCTCTGCGCTCTTTTAGTCACGCGGGACCATGAAAAAAGTTGCAAAGGAACATCAGCGGCCTGTTGACCCCGACCCAGCCTATTAAATGGCTTCAAACAATCACACGCAGGTGAAACTCCGGATATCACTTCTACGGACGCACAGGAAATGACATGCGTAACTTTAAAATGTAAGAACTAACAAGTCTATCTGATATATTTTTGAACATATTAAGAGGAAAGATTGAACCTAGGTAGACCACATCATGACAGGTAACCGACAGACAGTTGGAGCATGCCAAGAGATGTAAAGAGTGGCCGAGGACGCTAAATTGTTGTTTTGCGTGAAATTAAGCAATTAGGAGGCATCGAACGGAATCGTCTCGCGCCGGACAGGGCTGGTTGGAGATCATTACGAATATACTTTGACCTGCAATGGACAGGCTGATGATTACAGCTCACATATCTACGTAAGACATATTGCATTCCTAACACAACGCGCCACATTATGGACGCATGATTTTCTGTAGGGAAGCGTACTCAAGAATGATTGTACAGCTCAGTCGTGCACTTGACGCGGACTTCAGGTTTACGCATGAGCTCAACTCTTCAACATGGCGTACACATTGCGTCCGTATGAGTCATCCGTGCGCGAGAAGCAGTGCACGTGCGATGTGTCTCGGTGCACGCATTCGAGTTTCTGAGACACGTGCGCCCTCGCGATCAGTGGTACGCGACGTCGATCACCACGTCCAACGGTCCTCGCCGAGGATGCCAGCCTCTGACGGCTGTTCGGACTTCAAGGAGAAAGGGCTGCCGTCGTCACTCGAAGGACGACGAGAGCGCCGCTCAGCCATGCGTAAACGGCACAGCGAGAACAGTGTTGGCGGCAGTTCGACACCGACGCAGGTAAATGGGGGAAAAAAAAGGCAGCCATCGTTGATTGCAGCGGCGTTTCCGCCCGGAAGAACTCGACGGTTGAGGATCGTGCATGCGCGCTATACTTGCTCTGAAAGAGTGGCTGCGAGGAGGTTCACTTTACGACACCGTGGCAGCCGCTGTATAGACAAACCATGTGCTCTACAACACTAAGATTTTGTGATGACCGCATCTATTCTTCTTTATAGGTGCTGGAGAAACGCTAATAATTATTCGTGGGTGTCGAACAACTGACCGACATTAGAGAGCTCTAGTATAGCGGAAAAACTGCAAACGCAAGAATGTAGCGTTAGTTTTCGTACATTGCAGTGCTCTAATCTGAGCATGTGCAGAACGTTAACGTAGCCTCAACTCTTACGTACGAACGCTATCGTGGCACGTAGCGCTCAACGCTAACGCACACAAGAGATCCCGTACGTATGGCAAGATTGCGGTGCCTGTTGAGGCGAGAGCCGTCCACTTCGAATCTTTATAGTCTACAACCTGCATTGTTAAGCGCCTTCACTCTCACAGGCTGGTCGTAGTTGATTTAGGTTTGAGTAATGAGGCTGATGAAAGAAGCACGTTTTTGAAATAGACACTCGATTTGGGGTGCAGGAGGTTTTGAAAACTTGTCTACGAAGTTCGCTCAAGTTTTCGATAGCAACGCAGAGATGGCGACACTGTACTAATTAGCTTGTTTCCAAAATAAGGCAAGTACCACCACAAGTCAAGATGAGCCAGCTAAAAGAAGTCTCGAGGAATACACGATTACTGCATATGTCGAAAAAAAAAGAGAACCGTTTCGTTTCAGGCCGTCAGACACAACACTGAAACAAATGCGGCATGGAGACGCAGCAACGGTGACTTGAGGATTCTACAATGCACAGAGTGTTTCTATAACTAGATAGTGCCGTAGATGCTTGCGTTTGTGTTAGCGGTAATGCCTTCCGCTGTACTAAAAGATCACTATTTGGTGGGCAGCGCGTTCCATTAGAGCGTTAGCACTGATAGGCACGCTAATGCTAACGTAAGCGTCTTCCGATGCAGTAAAGCTCTCGTGAATATATGGCCGTTCATCCTATACTCTTGCTTAGACGACACATGTCAGCCAACAACAGGCAACAACTAGTCGTTTTGTGTAGTATACTTTTCAGAAAAAAAAAAAGCCTGACTGAAAGCAATGTCGTAATGAAGTTAAAGGTTGGTTAATTGTTACAAGGACTACAGTGTGGTTCATTGATGAATATCTTAATTATTTCGGGGTAAGTTTGCCTGCATGAAAGCATCTTAAGTATGACAACCACACAATATACAAATACAAAGCTTGGTTATACGTCCATTTAGTAATTAATATATAATTAATTTAGGAACATTGTTTGATTAACATTCTAGGTTAATATTACCTACTGAATATATATATATATATATATATATATATATATATAGATATATATATATATATATATTATATATATATATATATATATATATATATATATATATATATATATATATATATATATTATATATATATATATATATTAGGTGGGGTGAAATTCACTGGATCCGGTGGAAAATGCGGTAGAAAAAGAGGTCGACAAACGTGCGAAAAAACACTAGTTTTACTACTAACGTTTCGGCAGGCCCACCTGCCGAAACGTTAGTAGTAAACTAGTGTTTTTTCGCACGTTTGTCGACCTCTTTTTCTACCGTATATATATATATATATATATATATATATATATATATATATATATATATATATATATATATATATATATATATATATATATATATATATATATATATATATATAATATATATATATATATATATATATATATATATATGCCACATTTTCTAAATTGAACTGTGATAGTTTGAGACAATGCGAGAAGAAAGAAGGTCTAGGATAAAGGAAGGGAGAAAAACTGTCCTCGGAATCATGGACAGCATTGTAGATCATTGAAAAAAAAGTGCTGAGAAGCAGTGGTGCCGAAGCTGATTCGCATTTGCCCACTCACCGTTGGCGGTCGCATGAGAGAGCGGTGTGCTGTTCGGCTGCTCCAGGGACTCGAGGCAGGCAAGCCGCAGCTCCTGGCGTCCCCCAGCAGAGCCACGGCTCAGTTCGAGAAAAACCTGCATGTGCAGCACTAATCTCAGATATACGTGCTCTAACTGTGGAAATTGTAAACGTGCAAATTACCGCTGGTGGTTGGAGTGCATGCAAAAGTGGTGGCGAAATGGGCCCCCCTTGTTTTGTGTGCTTCACAGATGTGAATACAGCGACCTTTGTTGACAGACGCCCTGAGAGACGATTCCCTGTGGCAGCGTTCTGAGTCGATCCCACGTGGGGACGGGTGTAGAGCGACGGGTAAGTGCGAAATCTTTGTTGTCTGGTGCGAAATGAAAAAATTACCATCGAAAGTGATACTGCAAACGCATTCCACGGTATCATTCCTGCTGCCTATATATGCGTCGCATCATCTGGTAATCTTGGTCCCACGACAGTGATTCCTTATGGCGCTAAGAAGTATACATAAACGCAGTCATTCTTAGTACATTATCAACTGGCGTGAATTGTGTAAGAAAGAGCAGTCAGGCGAATTGACAATCGTACACACGGTAGCTAGACTCGAGGCAGAACTTATAACGCTGACACACACACACACACACACACACACACACACACACACACACACACACGCACACGCGCGCGCACACGCACACGCACACGCACACACACACGCGCGCACGCGCACGCGCGCACACACACACACACACACACACACACACACACGCGCGCACACGCACACACACAGTAACTGACTTTTAAAAAGCACTGACTATCAATAGAAGTTTCATTGAAAAATATCATGCAGTGGGCCCCATCTCGGACATCATTTTGCGTCGACAACGAGTTTGTGCCATGCATGTGCTGATGTTTGCGCATGAGCATGTCTTAGCTGAAATTTTTCTAAAAAAGATCAATTGTCTTTAGTAAATATTCATTTCATAGGTAACACTACTAGGCCGCACTTTTTTTTCCCCTTTTTTTCCCACTGTTGTAAATATTGCGCTATATTTTACACTGAAAATGAACGTGGTAGATAGAAGAGACGAAAACAAGCGTTTATTTCAACTTGTGAGTCATCTTTGAGAATGTTTTACAAAACGTAAGGTTATATGAATGCTTCTGTTCAGTCTGTCTTTGCGTATTCCACTCATTTGCGTTCATGGAAGAGCCGTCGCTGCACACAGTTACTGTGTGAAATAACATCGATGTTTTTAAACCAGCACGATTTCTCATGGTTATGACCTACGCCGGAGGTCGAGCTCTTCGATGTCCTTCGACATCCTACAACAGAATCGAAAGTTGGGCTAGTTGGATATGCATGGTATAACTGTCGTTCGAGAGCACGAATAAACACACAAAAGAAGAGAGGACAAGCGCTTTCTCGCAACTAAATGATTTATTCGGAGAGAGAAGAGTTTATAAACAGGCAACCAAAATCAGCGCATGCGTGTGCAGGCAAAAAGTACAGCGTCGCAAGTCGAGAACACCGAGCAAAAGCAGAAAGATTATCCAGAAACATAATCTAGAAAACCAAACTCTTTATCGTGGAGCAAAACCGAAGGCTAAATTACGCATTGCTCTCCTGTTTTTCTTATGTGAAGAGCTTGCCCCGCCGCGGTGGTCTTGTGGCTAAGGTACTCGGCTGCTGACCCGCAGGTCGCGGGTTCAAATCCCGGCTGCGGTGGCTGCATTTCCGATGGAGGCGGAAATGTTGTAGGCCCGTGTGCTCAGATTTGGGTGCACGTTAAAGAACCCCAGGTGGTCTAAATTTCCGGAGCCCTCCACTACGGCGTCTCTCATAATCATATAGTGGTTTTAGGACGTTGAACCCCACAAATCCTATGTGAAGAGCTTGCATCAACTCGCGAGTTCTTTGATTATTAGATGGAAAAACCACTTCGGTATCCTGAAAGAGAGGATAGCAGCCGCTTCTATTTCCAATAATCTACTCTTTCCAATAAATCGTTTAGTTGCGAGAAAGCGCTTGTTCTCTCTTCTTTTGTGTTTATTCGGGCGCTTGAACGACAGTTATACCATCCATATCCTGCGTCAGCTGTAACCTCCCCGCCCCCACCAGTTTTATTATCCGTTGTAATCACTTGGAATGGTCCTGAAGTCAGCGAAGTTATAGTAGACCTTATGTGCCCCGATCCAGTAGGCAGGGCAACGGTAAATTTACACGGTGAAAAAAAGATTACTTCGTTGGCACTAGCCTCTAGCGCATGCTGGCGTGCAATTCGATCCTGCTCACTGGAGGCACGAAACGTAGTGATCCGTATAGCGCCCCCCCCCCCCCCAGCCCGCTTGGTCGCAGAGTTGGCGCGAGACCGAGATCACCGAATTCCAGTACCGCCAATCCGACCCGGAGAGCGTAAAACCCCGATTGTGCCGTCTAATAACGGTGGAAAAGTATGAGATTTCGGCTCCATACCGTGCCGCACGATTAGTCTTACAGGGGTAAAGCGGTGCGAAACGCGCTTACGATCGAGGCGTCTCGCACCACCGGACTTCCTTGGCGGCTGCAGCGCATGGGCGCGGCCCGAGTTTTTTAAGATTCACCGGTCGGCGAGCGAGGCGAACGGCTTCTGTGTCGCACGGCTTTTCGCGAAGCAGTGTTGTTGTGCGTAGAGCGGTCATTAGAGAAAGGGGGGGTCGCCAAGGGCGGAGGCGCTCCGGCGAGGCCCGGGTCCGGCCCACCGGCCCAGTTTCCTTCGAGGCGCGGGCCGCGGCGGCGAAAGTGGTGCCACTGCTTGACGCAACAGCGCGGCGCTGGGCCCAGTTTAAAAAGTCGCCCCCATCGGAGAGGACCATTGTCCGCCACGCGAGCCGCACGCGACGCGCAGCGCCATTGTCGACCGGAACAAAAGGGCGGCCCGAAGGACGCGCGCCGTATCGGTTCGGCCACGCTCGCCTCGCCGCCGATACGCATCGCGCCCCCGACAAAGCGGCTCAGGGAAGCCGCCCTCGAAGGTTGCCGAAGTTTCGGAGAGAACGTTCAAAGAAGTGCCACCGCAGAGAAGGCGGATTCTCTGTGCAACGAACGACGCCGAAAGGGCAGCCGAGACCGATTCTCCCTCCGCCGCGGACGAGGATTACGTCAGAGCAAAAAAAAAAAAAACAATAAAAGTCGGACGTGTCGAAAGGGTCTCTATCAGGGGCATGACAATGACAAGCACATATGGCACTACTGAGGAAAACAAGCGATTCCAATTGTCCCTGCCGCTCCAGCAGTGTTGTTGTGACGTTCCGCTGGTGAAAACGAAGCTCTATTCCTCACCGTTTGATCTTCAGTGGATTCTTCAGTGTTATTGTCTTTGCTGATTCTTTTTGTATCATCACGTACCAACTTGCCGAACAGCTCATTTCGATGATCTTCGAGCGAACAGAAGAAAGAAATAATCGCGTGCTGATATTTGAGCACCACTTTCAAGAACAACACATTGCTGAAATAATCAGCCACCAAATGCGACGTAATTATTGGTAGCCCACGTCTACATAGCTTTGGAACAGAACCAACAGTGCTTCAACCGATTCGGTTGTCAAAACTCTTTCGCGTGCAAGCTTCGTTGTACTATTAACAGCAAAAGTTTGCGGGACGTTGGATCCACAACAAATGCGAATTTCTGCTATATCAGTGTTTAATGCTTGTAATCAAGCAGGTTACTGTATAGGTCGGAATGCCAAGTAGTGTGGAACGTTTATTTTGAAATTGCATTCCCATACAAAGCGGAAAATTCAGATTTATCAGACACGTAGTGTTCAACCGGGAACTTTTGCTGTTTTCAGTACTTTTTGAAGCAAAAATATTTTAGTGCAAAGCAACACACGGACCGACAAAGAAGACAGAACCGGCGCTTCATTGTAAGCTGTTTCCCTCGCTGTTTCATTGTACTTCCAACCCGTGCAAGCAGTACTCAGATACAGAAGGTGAATCATGTGTCCCTGGCAGCCTAGCCCCGGGTACAGCAACAACCGTTGGGCAAAGAAAGTTTATTCAACTCAACTGATGCGTCTGGTGTACTTCAGAGCACTCGAAGCATCGGACGTTTACAGAAAATTTGGTGATGCGGCAACATCATAGATGCCTATTGCGTTGTACCGCTATACGCCATCTTCAGTGTACACCGATGAGTTCAGTGGACAACATAAGCTGACGTGAAGGCGAAAATGATCATGCACACGCACACAACACTGCGATCGAATACGAGAGGCTCGTAAGCACGTATGCATTCTTCCGCTAATGATTTGCCCAACACCCTGTTATACTCGGATTTCTACTCCGCGATGATGACCATAAAACCTGACAGGATTCTTTGATCACTCACGTAAGGCGACTGGAACACGAAAGTTGTTTCTTTCTTTTCACAGTTCAGAAATTTATTGTCCCTGCCCCGCCACACTCCTGAAACTTTCTGCACCTAGTGTGGTTTAGCATTGCCTCGAAGATGAGAGACGCGTCACGTGATTTTGCACGGCTTCCGTGATTGGCTCACTGTTGACCAAGTTAACATACCGTGTGATGACGTGTTGACGTAGCGTCACGTCAACTGTCTTCTCTATGGCATCACAAATTTTGACTATCTGTCATCTCATGATGACTTCATGAGGTGGCGTCATCACGCTATGATTTTTGGCACTACTCGTGTGAGACGCCAATCCAAAACGCTGGTCAATATTCACGTTTGATGATCGAGGCACCTAGAGTTTTCACCTTTAAGAAAAAGGACGGGGGGGTAGGCGTTTACGAATGCTGGCTTTGCATAGCATCTCTTGTGACACATCATGCGTCACCATATGTACCACTTTATGCTTATGTAGCTAGCCACACCATTAACCTGTTGCAACTTGCTGATACGGCAGGGACCACAGAACGAGGACAGGACGTTTGCTTCTGTGGTTCCTGTCTTTCTTATCAGCGCTATGGCTTCATTAGAAGTCGCACACTAAGTAACCCCAAAGTCTTGTTTTGTTGCTACTATTATTTGTTTCTTCCTTTCTTTTTTGAATGCATAAGCTTTCGCATTCGATTTCACATCTCCAATGGCCATATTTATTAATCGCC